ACTTCAGTGTATACAGCTACATCTTAGATGCACAAATAACATAAATGTAATTACAAGCTCATAGTTGAAAAACAATATACCATAATTAGAATAAAAAAATAAAACAAATAAGAGCTATCTATAATATTGAGCAAAAGTTTTGTTGCCATATGTCATCAAGCACAGTTAGTGACATTTATGGCAGCAATATCCATGTTAATGGTATTGAAAAAGAATTATAAATTTCCATGATTTTTTTTTTTTTTTTATTATTGAAGCAACTTAAACTATTCTGTCATGATGGTATGAACAGATCATTTAATATTTTGTATTCAACTTAAAAAAATAGAAATATCACATTTTATTGAAATGTGCATTTTTTCTTATAAATCATGAAAATTTATTTAAAGCAATATAAGGATTGCAGCCAAAAAATTCACATTAAGCCATCAGAGGGGTGTAAAAAATTTAAACTGAAGAAAACTGTATAAATGTGTTTAAGGTAATAACACAAACTAGATCTCTTACAACCTGAAACTATTTTGAATTGGACTATGGAAAAAAAATATAACTTTTGTACTTGCAAGTCTTAGTTCCGATTATCCACACCCCCACTAAATATTACAAAAAAGTATTTACAACACAAAGCTGTAAGTTGCCGAAATACTTGTAGTTATATAATAGACCACAATGTCGCCAAAAAGTATTTATGTGGCAACTCGGGTATACATGTTGCACATGTCTATTTTGGCCAGCACACAATGACAACGTTATAAGATGCTCAGTTTGTACAATTCTCTGATATTTTTTTCAAGTGAAAAACAGACTGCTGTGTACGTCAGAACAACAACAGTAGGGGGGGGGAAGGATTTCTCAAATAAGGTAAGTATTTTATTACTCATATTTCTTGCATTTTTAATTTTATTGAGCGATGGCTCTCGTAGAACTCTTAGTGCAGCACCATTTTGAAAATGGCAGTTGCCTTTCATACATAAACTTGATGAAAAATTAGTAACCAATAAATTTGTGAATGCTCTCTAAAGTTGGCAATGAGTTTGTGATTGTTAGAGGTGTAGATAATTAGAAAATATCTTAATTTTAAATTTCTTTTTGCATTCTTGGATTAAATATGCTGAGGACTGAAATTTATAAACTATTAATGAAGTCATACTTTTCATTACTGCTAGATTTAAGACTTATTTAAATATGTGTAAATATTTAAATGCAATGAAAGTATGATTTCTTACACTTATGGCACTACTGAATAATATTTCTTTGTTATAATTACAGCAATAAATACATATAGTTTTTACATAAAAGTTTTATATAAATATATTACTTAAAAGTATTTATTTCCATAAATAAAAACTCTACTTAAAGGCTTTTAAAAATTTCTGACCTATGTACCATTTTATACTTCAGAAAATATACACGTAAATAAAGGATTATTTTATAACCATCTATATAAACTACAATACATCACTATCTCGGATTCTGCAGATGTAAATTATATTTCTAAGTTAATTTCACAGTTACAAGAATTTTTACAAGAGCACTCTACAATTCTTATAAAATGCACTGAAGTTTGAATTTCAGGGTATTTGGTACATGTGTTTCTCTCAGAAATTTTTTAATGCATTTTATTAAGAAGGAATTAAATCTAAAAACTAATTTTAGCTTTCTTACATTAATAACATCATAAATCCCTATGTTTGAATTTACGTTAAAGAATAAGTGCATTTGTATATTAGTTATAAATATTACTAATCCTACAAAAGCCAAATGATCATCATCTATGAACTGTTAAAAAATGTTCAAGCACACAGCAATACCTTACACAATGCAATTAACGCTTTCTGCAAAAATTATTGCACACTGAACCAACACTAATACAGGAAGAGTTCCAAACAGAAAAATATATAATAGCATGAAGACAATTCTTAATAAAGTAATAAATGTGCATGATTAAAAAAAAGATGTAAAATAACAATGAGGTAGATTAAGAAAAAATATTAATGTAACTTTTTATAATAATGCCACTTTTGATATAATAAAAGCATCATCATGAAAAAATCACACACACAAAACAATATGTATTTAGCTTAGAATTTTATTACCTACGGAGGCAGATAAAGGTATATGCTTAGAATAAGTAAGTGATAAAAAATCAGCGAAAACGCTACAGGAAATATTGGTGAATCCTTGGATTATGGTAACTTGGCGATTTTTTGGGGAAAATTTGGCGACCAACCCTGCTACAGCAAGCTGCTAGTTTGTTTTTTTTTTTTTTGTGGACGCCATTTTGTTTTCACAAAGTAAAGGCTTTTTTTTTTAACTCAACATTTTTTCCAACAATCTGTTAGCCGAATTACGCTTATGCTAGAACTTTTATGGAACAAAAGTGCTTAATAATGACGAAGATTAGGTGCGAAATTGGGAGAAAGTGCAGAATCGCCCACTGCTTCGCGCATTTTTAAGAATTTCACGTACGCGGTGTCCATGTACACGTCGACCTATTTTCACTTAAAAAGTCAAAGAAAATTGACAAAAATCCAATTCTTCTTAATCTTGTAAAAAGCGCCAAACAAATAAGTGGGCGATTCTGCACTTTAGCAGTGAAATTGTTTCTAAGTGCTTATAGCTAAAATCACGATCGAAATTTTCCGGAAAATGTCACATGACATGTCTCATGATGTCTCATTTCTCTGAGACAAAATAATCTGTGATTCGAACTGTGTACTTCTCAGATCATTGCTAAAGTCCTATCTAGTAAGCTTTATCGCCTTACCAAAATGTCGCCAAACTACCTGTTACCATATTCCAAAGATTCGCCGAAATATTTTTGATTCTATTAGTCTCTATAATCAGAAACTGACTGATTGGTTTTAGATTACAGTCTACATTATACAGGTCCAAATTTAACTTTTAATATCTCTGACATTCTCTGATTTTTCAAGACTAAAGAGAAAAATTTCCTTGATGAAATAAAATGAACTAGTTATCAAATAAAGAAAATTAATAGTTTTATACATTTATAACAAAATACAATGAAGTAAATAAGATGTTATACTAACATAATTTACTTCACTCATTATTATTGCAAACAAAAGAAATATGCATAGGAAGTACACATCTAAACCATTCAAAAAAGTTGGTAAGGTTTTTAAAATAAATATCAAATTCTGAGCAAAACTGTTCATTTCACAGAGAAATTATAACAGTGATGTATCATTCATAATAAATATTAATGCTACTGTGTTTTAAAATACATCTGAAAAACTAAGATCTGTACTTGATTAAAAAGTATGTGTTTAATTAACACAGCTATTGATTATAAAGTATAACTAATCAATACAGTGGCTTCAGATCTGCATCACTTGTAAAGAGAAGGATGACAGAATAGTCATATTTCTAAAAAAGAGAATGAACCAATCATTCATTAATAGTTGGAAAAGATTGACTAAAAAGATTAAAGATTGATTCAAGATTGATGAAATTGTTTCAAATGCACTTGGCAAAAGGAAAACAAAATATTTTAGTAATTCTTCATTTGCTTTCTTCCTAAGATCATTTATAAGTTTTTATATAAACTCAAAACATGAATTTTTTATTATTTTAAAAAACTAATACAGTCAAAAATCGTTAATTCGGACACCCATAATCCGGAATGATCTATAATCCGGACCTCAAAGCTAAAAACGGTACTTTTCCGTTTTGCCGGCGCAAATCTCGCCAAGCAGACTTTGTTGGCGACAACATACAGTATACACATAAAAAATGTTAATTCTAAGAATTTTTTTTTTATTGTGAAGGCATAAACATTTTAATATCGTTTAAAATTTTGTAAAAAGCCAATAAATTTATAAAAAGACATTAATTTAAGAATTTACTATGATTTCATGGTTCAAAATCCTGATTCGCGGTTCGTATCACGTGACCCCAAGTGATCTCATCTCACGTAAACTACGCTACTAAAATTTAATTCGCTCAGTAATTATCTACATTAATTTTAAGTTAAATCTTAATTTGGAATACAAGTTTAAAATGCAAGAATTACTTCAATTCGTACGAATAGCTTACTCAGAAATTATGCAAAAACCGCAGTGCTTTACTTCGCTAGTGCATTCTCATTAGAATTGATGAATTTAACACTTGATTTCGCCTTCGGATGAGCGGTGTAATTGCGTTGTTCTAATTGACTTCTTAATTACCGTGAATTGTCTTAGGAGATAAAATTAAATATCGTGTAAAAATTCTATATTATTGTATGCCAGTATTGAAAGAAACAATCTGATAAGAAATGGCTTCAATTGTTTTGAAACTGAGGCGTAAAGGTTACCAGCGAAGATATTCCGTCTGGCATCAGTTAAACCATTATTGGCGACTTTATCGTTTGCGCCGGCAAAACAGAAAAGTACCCTAAAAACTTTCTGCGCATGCGCCGTGTTGACACATGCGCGTAAGACCTTTTACGACTGCGTATATGCATTTTCGCAAGCGCAGAATACGTTTTCACGTGCACGTTTTATGTATAATGGATGGTATAAGCTAAAATTATCTATTTCAGTTAATGTTGATGATTGCGTTGTTCCTTAATGTTCAAAATGGATCCGGTATTTATTTTATTTTTTTTTTGCAGACTGTAAGAGCAATTTTATAAAGTAAACTTGAACTTTCGATTATGTCAAATAGAATTTCGATTCTGGAGCTCCCAAAGGATCGTACAAAATGATAGTATGTTTCGATGTCCATCAAACCAAAAGTGGAATTGCCTGCAAAAAGGATATAAAGACATGAAGAACGTGACAGAGAGGTTAGTGAAAACGAAAAAATTTCGATGACAAGTTAGTCGGTATTCTCAGCACAGCAATTAACGGGACTTGAACAGCGGAACTTTGTAACTGAACAAGAAATTATGTCTGTTTATATAATTAAGAGAAAGTATTAACATATTATCACGAAGCAACAACACTTAAACAACTTACATTGAAAGAAATGTTTAATAAAGTAAACAAATAAATATTAAGCTTTTATTTGTAAATTTTGATACCCTTTAGATTATAATTGTTCTTTATTTCATAAATTACAGTTTCATATTTTTAATTTTAGAATTTCTGCATGCCATCTTACGATATTTAAACTGATCCAGAAAAATTGAATCCGGAATCGCCGAAGTCCCGATGAGTCCGGATTAACGACTTTTGACTGTACAAGTGTTTTTTAAAATGAGAAAAATTTGACTGATTTTGTGGAAAATTTTACAGAATTTCCTCGACTTTCTAAAAAAATTCTTTATTTTGTCTGTCGTTCTCCAATATATCCTTGACTTTCCAGATGAATGGGAACCCTGCTAAAGCATGAGAATACACTGAATAAGCTATCGCAAAGAGTTAGTGTTGCAGATAACTATTATGAACTGTTGAAGTTTGTTGTATCAAAAATGCAATATAAAAGTTCATATTTTCATGAAAGTGTAAATAAAGTCATTCTTAATAAATTCAAAGACTGTTATATTTTTCATAGCTACAAAAATATATCACTCAGATTAATAATGTTAATTTATACTTAAATTTTCATTCAACTCTCTCTAATGAGAAATTCTATTGGGTAATCAAAGTTCAACTCAACCTTTCGAATAATAATTTAAAGGGAACTTGAAAAGAAAAAAAAAAAAAAAATTAAATATACCAAACAGTTTTAAAAAACTGTTAATTAAAGTAATAAATAACATTAATTTTTTTTCTTGAAAACAAAAGCACTTTGTGCAACATGTAAGAAATGCCCACATCTTGTGCTCCAAAGTTAATGCTACATTCTAAAATAGCTTTGCCACTCAGTGTTTCAAGTTTTGCAATTAAAAAATTCTTATATAATAGAGAGGGCACTTAAAAAAAATCACAGAACTGATCACTTATTTGCAACATTGTTCTTGTGAAAGATGTCCAGAGCATCAAGTTGTTTCCTTCCCAATAAAATATGTGGTCGACGATTGCGCATCAGTTCAACAGCTTGTGCAGGGGTCCAGTTATGACGCTACAGATTTAAAATGAAATTATTTATTAATATAACTTTAAAAAGTAATTATATACAATTTTTTTAAATATTTAGAATTACAACACAACTTTTCTTATTACATGGATATGCTAAAAATGAAACATAATAAAAATGTTTGTTATATCCTTACATGCTCATTTTCATTTAAAAAATATAAATAATATACAGTACAGTACAGTACAGTAATATACAGTAATGTTCAAGTATTTAAGACTAATTGTATTTACTAGTTTTACTGTCTTTAGTAAGGATATACAAAGAGCTCACTTTTACAGCTGAACTTTTTTTTATTTGATTGACTGCTATTTCTTATTAGTCAAGAAGAATGAAAAGTAAGTTTCCAACGCAAACTTTAAATCATTGGGACTTTGGGAATTCAGATTTTGGAAATTTCTGGATTTTAGATCATCAATTTAAACCCAGTTAAGATGATATACTGACATAGCACCATACCAGCTTCAGTTATTATTTAGGTCAGACAGAAAAATGCTAACCTCCCACAACCACTCAAAGGATGAAAGTGTAACCCAGGCCAAGAATACATATAGCGAGAGTCACTCACTAGCCAGTAATCCTTTGAAAATGACATATAGGAATCTCAGTTAGTCGGGAGAAAAAAAACACATTTAGAGCATACCTGCTTCCTTTTGAGTATTTATTATATTGCCCATTACTAGACTTTGTAAGGGAAGGACAGGATGATTTTTTATTAGCCCAAAATGGATATTAGTCTCAACAAATTTTGCATAGTTTCACTTTTCATTGAAATCTGTTGCCATTAGGGAAAATGTAAGATATTATTCTTTCACATTTAATCTGTGTGTTATTAATTAACAAATTAAAACTATTTAAAAGCAATAGATGCAGTTCTTAAAACTAATTATTTTTAAATCCGATTGATTTAAACAAAAATGAATTTAATTCATGATATATCTAATTGAAAATATTAATTATTTGGTACTTACGTATTATCGCAACCAGGTTGGCGCGATTTGTAAGTTTGAGTAAAAGTATGAATAGAAAGAAAAATGTACATTTATTAATTACAGATAATTTTTAATACAGTTTTTTTATATTATTTTGTTTTAAAATATAAATAGCAATTAAACCCTTGTGGTTTTGAATTTGAATAAGTTGCAGAATTATTTTTTCGGTGGAAATCTTTTGGCTATTGCTTTTAGCACTGATTGAAAACCGTCTTCGCCATTAACAGCTTGAGCTGGGCGCCATATAAATTCGATAAGGTATGAGTCAAGATGATGATGGGCTGTTCCTCTCTGTTTCTTGTTGCACCATTTGGCTGAGCCCCACATGCACTCTACATGTTGTGTGTGAACGCCCGTGTTGGGATCCACAAAGTTATATTTGTGATTACAGTTCCATGCAGAAATCCAGCATTTTTGAACTCACTTGTATTGTATCCTTTCCAGTATTTTGTATTCTTTTCTTGTATTCCTTTATTTTATACGTGCAAATGTTCATCCTTGGAAAGGGTATATACTTTTTCCCAATCAGGTAATTTCATATATGTACTTTTTACGGACTTTAAAGATTCACAAAATTTTCCTGCATTTTCGTGCAAATTTTTCTAATTTATGAGAAAAAAAGCAGTGTAATATGGATAAAGTCAAGAGTGTGCGCAATGCCATTTTTGTGCAATTCTGGGATGTTTTTTTAAGTGGAAATAGGTCGACGTGTACATGGTAACTGTGTATGTGCCATTCTGAAAAACGCGGTGATTTCTTTACAAAAAACTACGTATAACATGTAGGATTGCCGTAAGTAGGGTCCCCAAATTTGGCGATTTATGCAAATTTTGGCCTGGTTGCGTTAATACGTAAGTACCAAATATTTTTATAGAATTAAATCACATAATTTTAATGTTCCCATGTTAGTCTAAATGCATATTCATCTAATATCCCATTTTGGATTTGGATGTCCAGATTTCAGACTTTGTACTGTATATTACTTGTATTCCCCCTCCCCTCCCCTCACCCCCCCCCCAAATGGAGGACAGAAATATCTGACAGTAATGTTACATACAGGCTAAGTTTTAATTCAGAAATCATATTTAACTAAATTGTTATAACAATGCTGTGACTTCACAAATAAAAGTGCATTCTGAAAATAAGTTCCATTTTCAACCTTTGCCACAGCAAAGCTGCAATAATGATGAAGTGCATTCACCCTGAATTCAGCGACACATATATAAGGCAAATGCACCAGTTGAAGGTAAGTTGGTAATGTATATGCTTCAGGGATGGTGTTAATGTCCCAAGAAAATTTGTTCAACCATCCCATGTCAGTAATTGTAACTCATAACCATATTTGTGAGACATGTAGTGAACCAGAGTGCGAGTGCCTCAATGATATGAAAATATGTGTGACAGTATAATGAGGGATGGAAAACAGCATGGCAAGAAATGCAGAATCTGACCATCTGTGTTGAGTGGTTTGTGCAACCGAAGCAAAGATTAAAAAGAAGAGACAATTTAACTTGTCAGAAACTTACAGTTCATTTTAAACATGTTTCTTGGTTGCTGCTGAATAACACTGTAAGCCTAAAAGACCCTACATAGTAGCAAAAAAGTAATAAAAAAAAGGATAAAGGTTACTAGCTAGGACTTTAGCGGTGTACATAGATAGATAAAGTCGAGTGTGCACAATGCCATTTGTTAAGTTAGAATATAGCGCCACCTATTGGATAGGGAGAGAAACTCTCACTTGGCCATCTGGATTCGGCTAAGCAACATGCCAGAGCATGTATTAGATCTGAATAGTTAATTACTGTAAATAAATTAGTTAGTTCTTTTGCTATACAGTCCACTTATTAGTTTAGAATCATAGTACATGGTCAGCAGAACCGGAGAAATGAACAAAATGCTGGCATTAGATAGAAACAAAACTTCGTTAAAAGCGAAACTAACTAGGTTAGAAAATGTAGTGAAGGAATATGATGATAGTTCGAATAAGAATGAAATTCAAATAAAGTATAGATCCCTTCAAAGCATTCAAATGGATATTAGAAACTTGAGGATTAGATATTTCGAAAGCGTTGATGAAAAAGATGTCACAGACATCGATGAAGAAATCGCCGAAATGGAAGAAAGAACGGAAGTTCTAGAGGTAAGAATTATGGAAATTCTATCATCTATAGCACATTCTGAAAATGAAAATGATTGTAGTAAATTTGATCCTAAAGTACAAATACGTTTGCCAGAATTACCAATTCCTAAGTTTTCTGGTAAATATACCGAATGGAATAATTTTAAGCTTCAATTCGAAAACATCATAGCGAATAACACGCAATTAACAGAAGTTCAGAAACTCTACTATTTAAAGGCTGCATTAACTGATGAAGCAAAAAATCTTGAAACTGTTGATGATACTTTTAGTTCTCTATTTAAAGCTCTTCAAGATAGGTATGAAAATAAAAGAATATTAATTGAGACGCATATAAAGTCAATAATGGATTTACGTACTTTAACATTCGAATCGTCTAAAGGAATAAGATATGTAATAGATAATGTTACTAAAAACGTTAGGGCTTTGAATGTTTTAAAATATGAGAAAAAATAATTTATCGGATATTCTGTTATTAAATATCGTACTTCAGAAACTAGATTTCGAAACGCGCAAACAATTTGAACTAAGCATTAATGCTACGGAAGTTCCTACGTTTGATGAATTAATTTCGTTTTTAGAGAAAAGATGTCAGTTATTGGATAACATTAACCGTAGTATTAATAAAATGAAATATCCGTTAGAAAAAAGTTCGAAATCAAAGGCTCTGATGGTTAAAACCGATAGTGTTTCGATTTGTGTTATATGCAAAAATAATAATCATCCACTGCATAAATGTGATTCATTTTTGAAATTAAATCCAAATCAAAGATATGAAATAGTTAAAACCCATAAATTGTGTCTAAACTGTCTCAGTAACGAGCATTTAATCGCAAAATTGCAATTCTAAGTTCAGATGTTCGGAATGCCATAAAAAACACCATTCATTAATACATCGCCTGCTCAGAAATGGCACCATCGCCATTCAACATAAGTTAGACAAAACAAAAACAGGAAGCAACGAGTGACGAAATTATAAACAAGAAACGCAGATGTCTCTAATAAAAATCAATCAAGTTGTCTTTTGACACGCAGAAAAAACGTGTTATTGGCGACTGCAATAATATATATTTGCAATTCCGAAGGAAAAAGAATCCCAGTTCGCGCAATACTTGATAACGGCAGCATGAGTTGTTTCCTGTGTGAAGGAGTTGCTAATTTGTTAAATTTAAAGAAAGAAAGAATTTATGCATCTGTATCCGGAATTAATGAGAACGTTATAAATATTAATTATCAACTAGATGTACAGATTTCGAATAAGGATTTAACATATGTAAGATCAGTTAATTGCTTAGTTATTTCTAAAATAACCAATGTAACTCCATCAAGGTGTTTACATGTGCAGTCATTAAATATTCCCATTGATATTGAATTAGCGGATCCGCAATTTGGAACACCTAACAAAATAGATATGTTACTAGGGGCCGAATTGTTCTTTGAGATTTTAAAAGAAGGAAAATTTCAATTAGAAAATCAACCGTTGATATTTCAAGAAACAGTTTTTGGATATATCGCGTCTGGTGCATGCAAGAGTGACTCAGAAGTAAATTATTGTGGTTTAGTTCTAAATAGTGAAGAAAGAGTAAGAGTTGAAGAAATTTTGCAAAGATTTTGGGAAGTTGAATCCATTGAAAATATCGAGGATGCTTTGAGTGAAGAAGAAAAATACTGTGAAGAACATTTCAAGCGTACTCACTATAGACAAAAATGATGGAAGATACGTAGTTCAGTTACCCATAAGGGAAGGTGTAGAATTAGGAGAATCGAAAACGCTGGCTGAGAAAAGATTGCATCAAGTGTGGAATCGACTAGAAAGTGATTCGAATATGAAAACATTATATAAGAATTTTATTAAAGAATATAAGGATCTAAATCACATGGAAAGAAGTTCAAGAAATTGAAACATCGACTTGCAATTATCTTAGTCATCATGGAGTTTATCGGCCAGAGAAAGCCTCTACCAAGCTTCGCGTTGTGTTTAATGCATCCGCGGCTACTAGCAATGGAAAGTCACTGAACTCAATATTAATGAAAGGGCGAATACCTCAAGAAGATTTATTTTCTATTATTATTAGATTTCGAAAGTACAACTATGCATTAGGAGCTGATGTTCAGAAGATGTACAGACAAATACTTATTGAACCATCTCAACGAAACCTGCAGTTGATCTTGTGGAAGGAATCAGTTGGTAGTCCTGTGCAGACTTACCGTCTAAGGACTGTAACATACGGAACAGCAAGTGCACCATTCCTTGCAACAAGGGTCCTGAAGCAGTTAGCAATGGATGAAGCGACAGACTTTCCTCATGCCTCAAGAGCCATACTGAAGGACTGTTACGTGGACGACATTATTACTGGAGCTAATACCATGCAAGAAGCCAAGGAGTTGCAGACACAGTTAACCTGTCTTCTAGAACGTGGTGGAATGCAGTTACACAAATGGTGTTCAAACAATCCAGAATTATTGAAGAATAAAGAAAGTGCTACTCAGGATTACTCCTTTCAAGTTACGGATAAGCCTCAGATTACAAAGGCCTTAGGAATGTCATGGAATACGTCTACAGACTGTTTTTCTTACGATCTAAAGATACCTGACTTTGAAGAAACAAGGCACGAAAAAGAGATGTCTTATCAACGATAGGTCGCCTCTTTGATCCGTTAGGTTTAATTGGACCTGTTACGACAAAAGCTAAAATATTTCTACAAAAACTTTGGCTTCTAAAATTAAATTGGAATACACCTCTTCCTAAAAATTACTCTGAAGAATGGAAGGCATTTCTGCATAGTCTCAAAATAGTCAACGATTATCGCATCCCTAGATTTGTTCTAACCAATGGATTACAACAAATAGAAATTATAGGATTCTGTGATGCTAGTCAGAAAGCCTATGGTGCTGCAATTTATGTGAAATGTATGTCATCTTCAAATGAATGTTCATCAAGACTTCTGTGCAGCAAGTCTCGTGTGTCACCTCTGAAGTCAATTACCATTCCTCGTTTGGAACTTTGTGGTGCAGTTCTGTTGGTAAAACTAATGAAAAGAATATTAGAGGCCATTCAGCTACCTATAGTCAAGGTGTATTACTTCACTGATTCGTCAATAGTATTAGCATGGATTAAGAAGGAACCTTATCAACTAAAGACATTTGTTGCTAATAGAGTATCTGTTATTCGAAGCATGACTGCGGTTCATGAGTGGTACCATGTTAGCACTCACAATAATCCAGCTGATTTGATATCGCGTGGAGCTGAACCTAAAGATCTTCTTCATAATGATTTATGGTGGTATGGACCAACTTTCTTGACTAAGGAGAGGTTTTTGACTAATCCTTGTGAATTAATTTCATCTGATATGGATGATGTGGAATACGTCAAAGAACTCAAACTTAAGGATAATGACTTAGTTAATCTAAATGTGAACTCTAATTCCCTTGTTTTAGATCATATTCTTAACATTAGTAATAACTATATTCGTATTATTCGTGTGTGTATTAAGTTTTGTTTGTAGATTTATAGCCAATTGTAAGGGAAAAATTTAATAGGTTCTCTAACTGTAAGGAAATTAAAGAATTGGATGACGCTGAGAAAATCATTATCAGGTTGTATTACAGTACATGTACACACAGTTACATTCATTTTAGCAAGGATATCTATTAAAAAAAAATAAGAATTGTGTTTCTTCCAAAAGTAAGTTAAAATTTTTATGTCCATTTCTAGATAATGATTCTCTTCTGAGAGTAGGAGGCAGACTTGCCAATAGTAATCTTAATTACAACAACAAAAGTTTCCTTATGTAATGCCAAAAGATCATGTATTTACTAGATTAATTTTCAGTATATACCATGTTAAATATTTACATCTTGGTGCTCAAGCACTATTGCATCAGGTTCGTAGTAAATTTTGGGTTATTAATGGTCGAGATATAGCTCGAAAGGTTGTACATGAATGTGTAACATGTTTTAAGGTTAAACCAATTGTATGTGAACAACTTATGGGAAATTTACCTGGTGAAAGAGTTAACCCAGGGTTTGTATTTAATACTTGTGGACTCGATTTTTCTGGTCCATTCCTCATCAAGTATAAAAATCAGAGAAAGGGTAATTATGCAAAAGTGTACGTTGCTATATTCATATGTTTAGCTACTAAAGCAGTACATTTAGAGGTAGTAACTGATTTAACCACAGATTCATTACTTGCTACTATTAAAAGATTTATTGCTAGACGTGGAAAATGTAATACCATAATGTCAGATAACGGTACTAATATGGTTGGTGCAAAATCAGAACTGAAAAAATTGCATAGTTTAGTCCTTAAATCTAATTCTGATATAGCAGATTTCTTAACATCTGAAGGTATAAATTGGAAACTAATTCCACCTAGAGCACCAAATTTCGGTGGTTTATGGGAAGCAGGTATTAAGTCATTTAAATACCATCTTCAGCGTACAATCAGCAGTTATAAATTAACTTTAGAAGAATTTTGGACTGTTGTCACACAGATTGAAGGTATTCTCAATTCTCGTCCAATTTTACCCTTATCAACAGATGCAAATGACTTTGAAGCCTTAACGCCGGGTCATTTTTTAATTGGACGTTCCATTACTTCATATCCTGAACCAGATTTGTCTCATCTTACAGATAATAGACTTTCTAAATGGCAAGTTATTACCAAGTTCATTCAAGTTATTTGGAAACGTTGGCAAACTGATTATTTAAATCATCTACAACAACGCACCAAATGGTTTATTAATAAAGAAAATTTAAAGGCAGGTATGTTAGTTGTGTTAAAGGAAGATAATCTTCCTCCATTTAAATGGTCTTTAGCTAGAATTCTAGAAGTTTTACCTGGTAAAGATAATAAGGCCAGAGTTGTTAAAGTGAAAACATCAAATGGTGTGTATATTCGATGTATTAGTAAAATTTGTTTATTACCTATCCAGGATAATAATGCTTAGTTTACATTATTATGTTCTTATTGAAAATTGTGCTTTACATTAAAATGGAATTGTTTAAAGAATAAGTTCGATTGTAGCATAGTGAATGTTTATGTTCTTAAAATGTTACATTATTTTATATTATATTCATGATGAAAGATTATCTATTAGCTTTCATATTGTATTGTAGAATTAGTTGTTCTTGATTTGTTAAATTGTATGTTTGTTTGTAATTTACATGTTGAAATTTGTAATTTCAACGGGCGGCGGCATGTTAAGTTAGAATATAGCGCCACCTATTGGATAGGGAGAGAAACTCTCACTTGGCCATCTGGATTCGGCTAAGCAACATGCCAGAGCATGTATTAGATCTGAATAGTTAATTACTGTAAATAAATTAGTTAGTTCTTTTGCTATACAGTCCACTTATTAGTTTAGAATCATAGTACACCATTTTTGTGCAATTCTTGAATGTTTTTTTAAGTGAAAATAAGTCGACGTGTACATAGATACCCTGTATGTGCAATTCTATTATCAAAGAGATATAGAAACGCGAACATTTAACTTGGCAAGTTAAAGAGATGAGCTTTGTCTGCTTATAATTATTATTTTTTTTTTTTTTTTTACATATGGTTTTGGCTACAGACACAATATCATAGATACTAAAGAAATCTCTGTGTTAAAGCACTCGAAATTTCTGCCTACAATGCAATCAGGCCATAATTTTCCCCAGTCTGAATTCATGGCCCTTTAAATCATTTGCTGCGCCATCTTGTTAATCACAACTAAATAACAGAAAATATTAAAATGATATTTCTAAAAGCTGCTGAGTATCAATTCTGTATCGGAGTTTACTTCAAGACACATTTGAAAAATCACTTCGTGCCGACCCGAGTGTTCATAACTAAAGACATCATTTACCAGCCAAGGCATTTTTTGCTCAGATAATTTGTTCATGAACATAATTGTTTCCATAATAATTATTAAAAATTTAGTTTAGCAATTAGAACTTGAAAATACTTTTGAATATGTTTACTAAACGTAAACTAGATTTTAAAGTCCACACAAAATTTTATTTGTTTTATAATATAGCCATACATTTTTACAATAATACTAATAAAAGAAATAATGCATATTACCCCCGCGCGAAAATTTAGATTTTTTTCCAGTTTGCTATGATATGTTAAAATGATGCCTTTATATATATTCATCTAGATAAGTCTTAATTGGAAATTATTTTGAAAGGTCACAAAATGGTTAATCTTTGGATTATGGTAACTTGGCAATTTTTTGGCTAAAATTTGGCAACCAACCCTACTACAGCAACCTGCTAGTTTTGTTTTGGACGCCATTTTGTTTTCACGAAGTAAAGGCATGCTTTTTTTTTTTTTTTACTCAACATTTTTTTCCAACAATCTGCTAGCCAAATTACGCTTATGCTAGAACTTTTATGGAACAAAAGTGCTTAATCATGACGAAGATTAGGTGCGAAATTGGGAGAAAGTGCAGAATCGCAAACTGCTTGCTGCGTTTTTAAGAATTGCGCATACAGGGTATCTATGTACACGTTGACTTATTTTCACTTAAAAAAAAATTCAAGAATTGCACAAAAATGGCATTGCGCACACTCGACTTTGTCTATCTATGTACACTGCTAAAGTCCTAGCTAGTAACCTTTATCGCCTTACCAAAATGTCGCCGAACTACCTGTACCATATTCCAAAGATTAGCCCACAAAATTTCTTATTTCATCTTCCATGCAAATAATTTTATAGGAGAAAAATTAAACAACAATTGTGTGTTCAAAACATATAATATAAAACTTAAGATGTACATTTTCAAATTAAAATCGATATAAATTATTAAGAAGGAAACAAACTTTCATTAAGTAGCATCCGACTAATGTTGCACTGCGTGTTCTTCCAGCTTTACAATGGACATAAACGCTACTACCAGTACCAACAAATTCATTTATAAATTGCACACCACGAGCTAGCTTTTCTTGGCTTGGAGCATGAAAAATATCTTGTGTGTGAAGCTGAAGAAATTTTACACCTCTTCTCTTCCATTCCTGTTTCAAAGAAAAGCAGAATTTCTTTAATTTTTTAAGAATCTTAAAGATAATATAATACAAATTTGTTCTAAACAGAATGTAAACAGTTCAATTTTTATGCTTGAATTTGGTAAAATTAAATGTAATCAACACCTAATGAAGTTTTCATTTAATCTAATTCTTCTTACATAAAACAAAATTAAAAATATATAATATTTATCAAGACTACAAAGCAATTTTCCTTCTGAATAAAGGATAATTTATTATTAAAAAATAAACACTTTTTTAAATTGAATCTAACTGGATCATATTTTGCAGATGAAAAGATAAAATTACTTATTGGGTACAAGCTGGTGGTTTTTGAGACTTTTCTTAAAAAGTCAGGAAACATTACCTACATATGGAAGGAAGCATACTTCAGCAACGTAAAATTCAAATTTTAATTATTAAATAAGGATTATGTGATATATTAAAAAAATAACACAATCTTCACCTAAATCTTTCTTTCTTTTTTTTTTTTTTTTTTTTTTTTTTTTTTTTGTGCTATTTTCTCTCCAAGTACACAACACAATCTATATTTGCTTAAAAAAAGTTGGAGGATTTCAGAGACTTGCCACTGCAGAAATTTTAGCAATATCAGCTACCTACCAAATGCTTCTCCTCTTGAGCCCTTTAGAGATTTTGTATCAAAATTCTGTGTTTTTGCAGAAATTTTAACACAGTTTCTTTTGATGCTGAAAGTTCCACAAGCTTGTATTTTTAAACTATGTTCTAGGCAAAAATATCACGGTTTGTTTATAAAAGCCATCAGTATACAACAAAAAGAATGCAAATGGCGACACTGCTTGACTGAAATATTGTTATGAACATGGTTCTCTGAAGAATGGTTATGCACTTAGTTGCCAAAAACTGACACATTCTGAAAATCTGGTAACCTAATAAAGTGGTTGCATTAATAAGTAAGTAAACTTATTATAATGCCTGTTGTTTGGTAACATGGCTACTGCATAATTAAGACACAATAACACGTCAAATAAATACTAATTCAGAAGTCAAACAACAAAAATCAGTGTTATATTTTCAAAATTTTCACAGGACTAGTTTCAATGGTTTTACCGAACCACCATCCTCTTTTGCAAAACTGCAAATGAACAAGATAAATAATGATTAGATAAGATAAGAAAGCCTGGACAAGAATAAGCAAGTGGCGCCATCTGTTGGTGAAACCAGAACTAAAACATAATTTCTTTAAAAGCCGAAGGCAAATTTGGATTGGAATTAGGATCGTTAACTAGAACAGAAAGATTTTTATGAATGTGAAATGCCTCTAGAAAATCCAGTTCTCCAATGGAAGATGTTTTTTGAATAATTTTGGCAGCAGAAAAAAATTGAAAGTGTGATTTTCGGACCAACAATGTTGAGCAACAGAAGACTTCTGTGTTTCCTTTTTTCTAACATATGCCTCATGTTCTTTGACACGAAATTTTAAGGCTCTCTTAGTTTGGCCAATGTAAATTAAACCACACCGGCAAGGAATCCTATAAATACCCCAAGAATTCATATCCGGAATGGGGTCCTTGAGTATGAAACTCGGAATTTTATTGATGGGAGAATGAACAACGCGAAAGTTAAATTTCTGCAAAATACGTGCAACGTTATAGCTAATTGATGGAAAGAAGGGAATGACAACGGAATTTTTATAATCTCCTAAAACAAGAGTAATCTCCTAAAACACTAAAAGGCACACTCACAATTAGTATGGCTACTGCATGTTAGGATTAACAGTACATTTAATTTTACGATTTTACAGCCACAATTACGATGAAAATTTGTTATCGGAAGCTATTTACATACTAGACAAAATTCCAATGATCATACATTTACCAACAATTATTTTATGCAGAACAGTGAAGAACTTATTTCACTTACAAAAAAACAAAACTTCAAAATTTTATGAATATTATTGTTTTTTTTTTTTTTTTTTTTTTTTTTTTAATATAATGGGAAAATAATGGTGGAAAGTAGTAAAAATCTACATTATAACATAAAAAAAAAGTCTTGAGAGTGGCATACTATTATTAAGATAGCTGGAGGCACAGATAAGCTAATATTTTCATTTTAAATGAAATGCTTTCCTCCTCATTTTGAGTCTTATGTTAAGATGGCATTAAAAAAAAAAAAAAAAAAAAAAAAAAACTTACAATTTTTCAGATTGTAAGATTTAGATTATCATCGATAAAAACAGAATGACACAAATGAAATTATCTGAAAATCTCTGCAAACTACATTTATTTATTTATTTACTATGATAAAAGATAAATAATTTTAAACTAAATCAGCAGATATTTATTTGAAAATGTGAATACAGAACTTTTAAATTACATAAAACTGTTTACTAATAGAACTAGCATTTCTTCTTTTAATTGATAAAATTTTCTTAAGAGTTATGCCTATTAAAATACAATTAGAATCAAATGCTAATAATATAAGTACAATAAACAAAATAGTAACTAAGACAAAGTCTGTTACTGACTGTAATTTATACATTTCATATTGTGCAATATTTTCAAAAATCACAATTACTTCTTCTGTAGTTACCCATCTCTGTAGCTCAAAATCTTCATTCATTGAGATAACTCCTCTAACATTTTCTTCCTCTATTAACTGAAACGAAAAATTATAAACTGTGTATAAATTCACAACTTATACAAGCGTGTTTTTTGTCAACTACACAATCACCTAAAATGGCATCTATGTCTGATTATTATTAATGATGCATAAGAAAAATATATGAGTAATTCTTTTAAATAAGCAAAATTTCAAAGTTATATTTTGAATTCAAAATATGCTACTTAACAAGAGTTAAAAACTGTTTTAATTCTCAGTATGCCTTATGGATAAACGGAGACATTTGCTGTAAAAGACAACAGAGATTGGTTTCCATACATAATCATATATATAATGAAAACTCATTAAATTAGGTCTTCAAATATTTTTAAAATTTAATATTTCCTTCAAATTATAGTCTTTCAATGAGTTTCTCTTTTTAAGTAAAAATCCTTAGAATTATGTTTTCTGTAGGATGATGAGGCTAATAAAAATGGCCCGGAAAACAGAGTAACTCGGTTTAATCCTAGTATCCGGTGCACACGGGATTTGGCTACTTTTGGCGACTTTATGACGAGCAGTAAAAACGAGACATATACGATGTAGTCAACGGGTCATTCAAGATATATAGCATAATGTATATACTATGTATATACACACATAGTATATTTAGATGTTCTTTGGATAATTTTTGGTGTTGGTGATAATTTTCAAAATCGTGCCAAGGCTGCACCGTATACTAGGATTTTACCAGTAACTCTATTCTCCGGGCCACTTTTAGTTGCCTCACCCTGTATTTATATCTAATAGAACTATAAAACAGTATACACATCAAAGTGATGAAGACAAATATGATTTTTTATCACACATAAAATAAAAGGTAAAATACATGACAAAATAAAATAGTTACAAGGAAAGTGTCAATGTATGAATGTTAAAAGTATATACCAGTGTTATACAGCAATATGCCTATGATAAAGAATTTAAACCAGGACCTATTTTGAAGTTTTACATACATGAAAGATAAATAAATCACAAACATAAAATATTACTATTATGCCAGATAAATTCTCTTTAATAATGTACGTTCGATCTATAGTATTAATTACAAAATTGCTTTCGTTTTATGTAGACATGCTTTTTATGTTTAGTTGTATTATTCTTATTCACATTCATGTTTCTGTTCAATAATGGTGCATCATTTGAAACGCATTTTTTCTTAAAACTGAAAAAAATTCTCCTTAAACTAATGCTGGATGTTAGGAAAGGTATGCATTTTCAGGAAGATTGGTAAAACTTCTTTAATAACCAAAATTCCATTTCGCTACCCAAATAATTTCTTAGTTTATTTCATACTAAATGCAGTCATTTTCTATACAAAATAGTTAGCTAAAAGAAATAATGTAAAATACAATTAATGAATTTTACGAAGTTTTTTATGCAGAAACTATCAATAAAGTGTATACTATGAAAAATAAAATTGAGAATTAAATCATCGCCTAAAATCTCTTCTCCCAAAAATATTTCTTAAGATAAAGCAAAAATCATTCATTAAACGTACAATGCTACAAAGATAATCTGGTAAGCTATTAACATTACAGGAGACAATAAATCTTCAAGCATTCAATACTATTTACTTACCTTTTCAGTTATACTTCGAAAAGGTAAAGCTCCGAGAATAACATTTTCATCTATACGATCATACCACCTTCTAGACGTCAATTTTTCCATTACTACATTGTACATTAAAGTAGGATAAAATGAGGCTCTAGCAAACATTTTAGCGTTATGATGCAAGAGAAAAGCAGATGCAAGTATAAAAGCGTATGTCACAAGCAGGCACGTAATTTAGCTAAAAATAAGCATAGAACACACCTTCGCATGTCTAACTAGACGGTCTTACAAGTCTTCATAAGCATTAAGAAACTGAATTCAAGATACCTCATGCTGAGTTGAGCTCTTTCATTAATTAGATTCATACTTGAACCCGGAATTCGTCTGCCACCAGAACAAATAAGTGGCCATGTTGCCAAATCTTAATTCTTAAAAAGTTCAAAAAATAATATAGAAATGATTAAATTTTGTTCTGAAGATAATATGATATCATTTTTATCTGTAGTTTCTTCGCAGTCTATTAATTTAAAGGAACATAATTTTTCTCTGTGTTATTCATAAATCCCAATTCTGTAAACAAAATAATGGGTTTAAACTCCAAACTTCACTAATAACTCCAAACTTAACCTGTGGCTGGCATTACCGCTATTTGTCTTTCGGAAGTCGTTTAAGTACTATAGCACGAAAAAATGATTGATAAGTTTGCGAAAATATACGTGGTACATTATTAGTACAATGCAATTATTAGTTTTCTTCTGATTTAGTATAGTTTTTTTAATAGATTAGGCATAATGACCATTATTCTTACTTTAGTTGTAAATATAATGTTATCCTTTTTGGGATTTGTGATAACTTTTCATTTTCTGCCAAAACTTAAGAATATGTTCTTGAAAGCTAATCTTTTTGGCATAGATTTAGGCAAACAGACTACTGAAAAAATGTGAGCATTAAATAAAGTGCTAAATTTTAAATTTTAATATTTATGTACTTTGAAACATGTCGAATCTCTCATTCTGCTATAAATTGACGTTACTTATTTCATTTTTTTTTGTGTTACTTTTACTGGTTTCTTCTTATACTTTCACCTGAAATAAAACATGTATATTTCAAATTAAATGAATTTCATGTATTCCTATCTTGAGACACGGATCTAAAAATTACCAGATTGTTGACAAATTTGCATTTATATTCTTTGATTATTAAATGTGCTATGCCCTCCTTCATAATAATTTTAAAGTAGTCATTTTTTTTTTCTCTTCTTTTTGAAGCCATATGCAGTGAAGTGGAACTAGTCATATCTTTAATAACATCATATTGATAATAATCACATTAAATAAAACATTGTATAAATTATAAAGCATAAAATGAATAATGGTATTGTCAAGCCCAGTAGTTCTTAACCTTTTTTACTACATGTACTCTTTAATCTCTGCTAGATGATCAGTCCCCCTTTTCTTTCCAAAACTCGAAAAATACGTATAAATTTATTTAGATTATTTTTAATGTGTTTTATAAATTTAACAAGTAAAATATACGGAAAATTTTTATAAATACCAAAATTAAAAGTAGTTTTTTTACATTTATAAACTAAAACTAAATACTTAACAGATGAATAAAAGCTGATGGCATTCGTCCCTGAAACTGTGAAAACCCCTTTACTAATCATATACAATTAGCTTCCATTTTACAAATATTCAGATTTATGCTGGTTTAGAAATTAAGCTAAATTTAAAATAAGAAAACACATTTAAAAAAGTGAATCGCTTTAAAAGAATGTGGTTCTTGAGAAAAAAAGAGGATGTGCAGATATTCATACTGCAAAATCTTTTCAAATCAATTCTGAAGAATTGAACAACGTGGTGATTATCATGATAATCTAATTTTTAATGCAAATGATAAACCATCAAAGATTTATAAAAGTAAAAAAGATTGGTTAAAGAAAACTTTAATCAATCATTCCGTAATTATTGTATAATCTGTATTTAATAGTTAAAATTTGTATTTTAAATTGTTAAAGTGTGTTTTACAATAAATATCAATGCTTAAAGTCTCTGTATGGAAAGTCAAGAAAATTGCACTAAGGTGGTTGCATTAATACGTAATTACCAAAAATACTCTTGCCATCTAGTTTTGTCATTTTACTGTTCAACTTGCAGTTTTTCATTTCATATCCTGATTTCTCGTCAGATCACTAAATTTCCAATTTTTGATGCCTTTACTAAGGATAGTGTTTTTGGTAATAAAGCTTACATTGAATGAATTTCATTCCTCCATCTATAATGATTTTCAGCATAATTTTTTTAAATAAATTTTATTTGATTTGAATTGTCTTAATCTACTGTAGACATCTGTAGAACTGTATATGAAGATTCAACCAATGCTTAGTCAATAAATAATTGTGTTCAATTTTGTTGTACTGTATCAAATATGGTACATTATAAGTTTATCCACCCAACAGTGTATGTTAAATAATTAATTTTATTTTTATTGTGTTTAAAATTACTTTGATAAATTAAAAATTAAATCTTTCCTTCCCTGTTTAGGATTTTTTCTGTTTAAAATTGTGCTAGAAAATTACAAAATTGACTTCTTTCGAAATTCTGCAGCCCCACAATTTTTTTTTAATAAAATAAATATTTTAGATAAATTTAAAATTTTGCTTGCTAAATTAACTAATAAAACTAAATATTTAACATACATACATAAACAATAAATAACATAGCAAAGAGGAAAAAACTTAACATCCCATAAACTGCTAGTTTTTGGCATGAACATTTCCCGGTTAAGAAGAAGGCTTTCTTGTTTACATATTCAAAATTTTTTTTCCAATGAATTTTGTGTTTATTTTACCCTGATAGTAAAGTTGCTTTTGTTGTTTTAATCTTATATGTGAGTGGTCTCAAACTCAAATTGCATGTGGCCTCAATGAACAATCTGAAAACAATTGACAGGCCACAAGTTTTTTTTTTTTTTTTTTTTTGAATAAAATAAATATTTTAGATAAATTAAAATTTTGCTTACTAAATATTTATCAGAACATACATAATAACATAGCAAAGAGGGAAAAACTTATATTTATTTTTAATATGAAATCTGATGTTTAGTACCTGTAAGACTTGTTTTTTTTGGTAACATTTTGTAATTCAAGTATATTGGTAGTTAAATACTAAATACTGACCTTTTTTTTCCCCCCTTCAAATAATTATAACAAGTGTAATTAATCTATGAATAACTTACTTTAACCAGTTTAAGTTAACTACTTATTTTAAGTTTCTAGAGAAAATTTACCAAGCAAGACAAAACTTCAAAATAAATGACAATAACCTGGTCTCTTTCTGTTATTTATAGAATTTTTTAGATGCATAAATAAAACTACATATGTTTGTACAAGAAATAAAACTTCTTTATTTCTTGCTATAACTTGACACTTGATGGCATTTCACTTCTGGTAAAGTTTATAACCTTGGAAAGAAATTATTAGAAATTATTGTCATGGACATTGATCAATTGAGCTCTTTTCTGAATAGTATTGAATTGCAGGAAAAGGCTATACACATATAAATGTTTTCCCAAACAAAACGGTTATTTTTAGTGCGAAAAGTCATAACTAAGCTCATTTATTTTTGATGCATGCGAATAAAAGTTAACCCGGCGGAAGTCGCACCAAGAAAAGTTACTAGAGTGAGTGCGTGGGGTATCACATACCCCAATATTTAAAATACAATAAAAATAGTATTATTTAGTTTTAATTTTTTTTTTTTTTTTTTTTTTTTTTTTTTTTTTTGTTCTCGTGTATTATAAATAAATGAATAAAATGGGTTTCAAAAAATTAATTTCCGAAATAATCTTAGAGTCAAAATTAAGATAAATGAAAATAATAAACATCATGCCTCTAAGTTTCATTGCATCTCTAATATACCATGCTTATTTTATTTCTTCACACTTTGAACGAAATACATTCATGTGTTCTTGGCACAGAATGTTTTCACATTTTAAACATCGCATTCATGTGTTCTTGGCACAGAATGTTTTCACATTTTAAACATTGCATTCATGTGTTCTTGGCACAGAATGTTTTCACATTTTAAACATTGCATTCACATTCACGTTCTTCTGTAATTGGCATGAGGGCGAAAAATTCAACACATCTTTCATACTTAGTTGTTTCAAATTTCATGTATTCGTTTTAATTCTTCGTCGAAACTTCTGCTTTTGTTTTGCATGCAGTATGTCAATTTCTTGGAAAAGTATTAATCTCTGATCTTTGTTCAATACTTTTTTTCATTAATTGTAATGCTAAGTCCTTCAAAAACAGACTTCTATTTCTTGTTGGTGGATTAGCAGTTGAATGTAATATAATTCAAGCATTCAGTGCCCGAAAGAAAATTACCATTGGCCATCTTCTTGGTATTCTGGCAATTGAATAATTGGCTGACATTTCTTCCCCCATATCCACTGCTCCTTTAGTCATATTATTAAAACATTCCTGACGTTTTATTTTCTCCAATAGTATGATCATTATATAATGTTGAAAGCATAAGAACAGTTTTTCCTTTTTTAGGAACATCAGGAATTAATGTTTTATCTTTTTCAAAACCAAAACATTGTGGAAAATATTCTTAGTTTCATCTTCAGTTTCCGAAATGCAATCTTCATCGCTTTCAAATATTAATAATAAATCTCACATGCGTTGCATCTCCAGTTCATAGGGACTCATTCTTTTTACCATAATGCAGTTAGAAATTTTAAGAATTTAATGTCAAGTACTTTAAAATCACTTGCGAGTAGAAATATTACTGTTACAATCTAGAAATAAATTTCTGAACTAAATATTCAGTCAGAAAACCAACTTACACGGACAGGCACGTGGGGTGTGTCATACCTCAGTTCCAACAAAATACCGATAAATCTTTTTCTGAAACACACAGGCAAAGAAAAAGCGGTTCTGAAAGTCATCCACAACTAGAAACTCAGCTACTGAAAGCAGCACAGAATTTCAGTTTTACAGGTTAGGAATATTCCACTTTTATCTAGGGTTGGGGTATGATACACACCACGTGCCTTCCCGCGGGTTAATGAAACCTGTATTTTCAAATATTTTAATGAAATTTTTATCACATTGTAAATTTATTAAATCTATCTACAGGTTTTCTGGTGCATTATTTTTGTTTATTATTAATGGAAATGAAAATAATATAAGCTCGGACTTCAAATGATGAAAATTTTGAAATCTTTGCAGCATAGTATTTGGAATTAATACATCTTTGAATATGTCTTCATGGGCTGTATGCAGCTCATGGGCCACCAGTTTCAGACCACTCCAATTTGTGATCCCTGTATACTTTCACAGTATAACATTCAGCATGTATCTGCAATAATAATCTTTGCTTTCTAACAAGCCTGTTACCTATTTTTTTTTTTAACTATTAATGGAAACACTGTGCTTGATTTTCATATATTTCATCACCATTTTCGTGAAAATCGCTAAATGTGAATTTAAGAAATAAGGATTTGAAATTTCGTAGTTTAATTTGATTTATAGTCATGTAGATAGAATCTTTTGCACTCTTCAGTGTAATCCAAGTTTTATGTTCATTTATGATAGATTAAAAGTCTTCATCTAAAATTAATTATCTGATATTTCAGAAGGAATGCTTTCACAATGATGCCCTGCAATATCATCATAAAAGTGCTGGCACTTTTACAGTTATTTTGAACAGTGAAATTTATGCAAGATAACTATTGTTCAAAAAGAAACCTTCATAAGGATGCCCTCACTGATGTAAAGATCATTTTCTAATCTGTAGAAAGAAGCTGTTGTAAAAATTAACCACTAGAGATCATCATCTTTCTAAGACAACTGTCATCGCAAAAGACCAAAATCTATGAAATAGTCAGCTTACCAATGGCTGAATAATGAAATTGCCGAATACTGGCATTTTGATCTGGGTTCAGTTGGTAGCAAACAGGATGGCTGCATTCTCGTGTGCAGTGTAAATGCTAGCTAGTTTTTCTGGAAAAGTCCTCCATGGATGTATTCTTCATAAGCAGATAGCCATCATGTGCTTTGCCTTAATTCAATCAAATCCTCTGGCACTTTCAGTAATCAGAGAGTTCATTGTAATTGGGTGCTATATATGTAATTTGTTAAATATAAATTTTAATAAGCTTTGGAAATTTTGCTAATTTTTCTGAAACTTTTAACCAAATAAATATTGGTTTATTAATTTTTTTTTTTATTTGTGGTTTTAATCTGATTCATGTATTTGAAAGTAAAGAAGCTTTTGGCATATAATGGCTACTTGTGTATTTCCATTTGAACAATTAAAATTGCAAACAGTGTTTTTATCAACAGTATTTGCTGTAGAATTTGTTATAGGTAAACAACAATGTATGCAGTTAAACAGAAAATTTAAAAATGACTTATTTATATAGATGCAGTTTGGTGTTATAATATTTTTTAGAAACTGGAGATTTAAAGAACTAATAATGAATTACATAAAAGTTGATGTAAAAAATAGATCTCTTTATGCTAGTTTATCCATATGCTATTTGTATTTTGTCATATTGGAACTTTGATGTTTTCTGTAAATCTTTGGGTATTTTATCTCTAGCTGGACACAAGTGATATAGTGCCAACTATTATTTCACCTGCCATTATTGATGTTACTAGCAAAGTTTTAAATCTGGCATTCTATAGAATGCCTAGGCATTGTACATAATGCCTAAACCTAGCTGGCAATGTATGAAATGATTCATATTTCACACATTTAATAGACATTCTATAGAATGCCAAATGGTAAACCGGCAAAGTATGAAATACATCTGCGATTCGTTTCGAAGAACCGAAACTACTCACCAGAAGTTAATAAATGATGTAAAAAAAGCCAAAATGACTATTGAGAAGGAATCATGGGACTAATGGCCGCTGAATAGCAATATTTGCGGAAAACAAAAGTACATTCATTTATCCTGTTAAAGAAAGCTTCAGTACTATATAGTATTACGTCACAGATTCTGAGTTATTTCCTGTAGTTCATGAAACCTGATTTGAGTACTGGCCACAGACTATGTGACAGAATGTTAAAAGAACTTTTCAAACAAATACAAAAAGGTTACACATAAAGATATTGAATTGTACAACCACCTTTATGAGCCCTGCTAGAAAGAACATAAAAGTATTAAAAAGAGCATTGTTGTGGAACTTATGACTGTTTCTGAATTTAATTTCCATTGTCAGATATATATTACAGATTCCCAGTCTCAGCCAGATAGAAAATACAAATTTATTATTTTGTATCAAGATCATCTCACTATCTTGTTTTACATATTTTGAATAACAGTGTTTAATGGCACTCTTTCATTAATTTTTAAAAATACTTCCTTTTTACTTCGTACAAGGAAGTAATAACATTTGTATTTTTGAGGAATGCATGTCTTTTAATAATAGCCTTATCATAACCTTTTTTCATAAATTGCTTAAATAGCATTTGCTGTTCTAAAGAATGACTAGGTATTATATAAATGCCTAGAGAAAGTATGTAATAATTCTCATATTTTGCCTAAAAACATCCAGCATTATATAAAATGCTGGTGTTTCATACTTTGCCTGTAACATTGATACTGCAAATGCTTCCCATCGTACTCTGCTCAGATTTGATTATTTTTTATTTTAAATTTGATTATTTTACCAGAAATTCAATAAGTTTAATTACGATGAAAATTTGCAACCTGTCTGCCGATGGAATAAGTTGTACTATTTTTGCAAGTAATTTGTTAGTTGGGGAAGAGGGGTGGAAGACCATCCAGTTCTTTTCTCCTGTAATACTGTCTATCAGAATAGGAAAAAAGCTGTATACTTTGTATGGTGGAACCATACCTGTACAACCAGTGGTGAAATTTGCCTGCTAAATCAATTTGTAAGAAAAAGCCTGAAATGAAGACTGGAATTAGAAATGGCAATCGATAGCAGTGCAACAAATTTCCATCACATCATGAGCTTCTAATATGGAATTAGTTATAATTTTTTTTTATTATAATAGAAAATGTAGAATTTTCTGTCCGCGATACCAATAGACATGGGTTTGTATCCCAGAGAAAGTATGGATGTTTGTAATGTATAGTTTCTTTTGTGGCATTGGCACTTAAAGTACTGACAAGCCGGGAAGTTCTCTCGAATGGTTTGGTCATTGGGGAAGAGGTCTGGAAGACTTCCCAATTTTTCTCCCAGATTGCTGTCCATTAGAATTGGAGTACAGCTGTGTAGCTAGTGTAGTGGGACTATACCTTTACAAGGGGGCAGTGGTGAAATTCTAGTGTACTACTCACTTCTCCCTGTCCTTGTGAAAATAAGAGATTTTTGTATTTTTTTTTAATCTGTCAGACATTGAAAGATATCAAGTGGGAAATATATTTTGTAGTTATTCTTATTTATAGTTACTTTAAAAATTACAATATGTAATAGATATTAAATGATGGATTATATATGCAGATGATATAATTTGTGCACATGTAAGATATTTATGCTTCTTTCATTTCTGTTCTTAATTTTTGAAGTTTTCAAATTTCTGTATTGTCATTTCCATGATTTCTTTATGTTTTCAGACCAGAAGCGATGGGTGTTGTATGTGGATCTGTGTTTCTTACTGTTATGTTTCTCTTCATTCCAATTCCATTCATACAATACTGGACTGTAAATACTAAAGTTCCATTTCCTCATCATCAGGTAAATACTTATTTTCTTTTAAATTTGTTTTTAATAAAAAAATAGTATAGCTTTAACAGGTCTGATTAAGAATATGCAATGATTATATATACCATAATTATTGTCTTAAATTTTTCTGAGTCACTTAGTAGTGAAACGCGTTTCTTGTTTAAGACCAGATCAACTTATTCATGGTGGTATAACTGTTCTAGGTATTTTCTGATTATCCACCCAACCCTGAAAAGAATTCACCCGACAATACATATGTCACCAAGGTAACTAATCCACACCGTTAAAAAAAATTATTTTATTGGCAATACAGCAATGTGGTGTATTAATCCCTGGGTTGCAGTTGGATATAATTTTAGTATTTTTCTGTCTTTATGTAAACAAAGCTGTGAAACCATTGTAGTTATATATCCTTAGTTCATATCCCAATGATGAAATGATTAACTGTGTGAGTTTATTATTCTTTACTTCCTGCATAGTGCAAATGCAAGTCTCTTATTTCTTATAAAATTCTCTATGGAAGATGTACCTTTTTAGACAGGTAATTCTCACATTTTCCCGTAACTAAATAACCAACAATCATTGTTTTTAATATTCAGACTAAGATTCATTGTTGATTTTCCATTCAATATTTAGCAGTTTCCCTACAAAATATATCAAGTGACATGTTACTAAAAAAAAGTTCTAGGCAATGAGATGACTCATAAAGAATTTCTGCTTTTTCCTCTGCATGCTTTCATGGCATATCTTTCTTACGTTTCTGGTTCTAAAAAAATCTAATACACAGATAAATAATAAATAATCTAATACTTACTCAATGACTAAAATATGTGTGATAATTCTTCACCACCTAGATTTGGCAACTGTTTCTTCTCCCAGCATAATCATCTTTTAAGTGGAGAAAAGAAATTTTCACTTTCCCTGCTGCAAGTTCTCATAATGTAAAAGGTAGCTTATCTATCTAGCAGACAGTAGCATATCTAGCTAGCAATTCTTATTATGGTAATATGCTGCCATTTTTTAAAATGTCTGTTGTCTTTTGTATGTTATTCTGGCGAAAAATTAGTCACCAGCAATTGGTTACTTTTCGAGAGAAGGGTGGAAATAATCAGAAAGGGTATTTAAATGTTATTGTAACTATCTTAGTAGATGTTTCCGAATAATCAGAGTATGCCAAAATCTGGAAACTGTACACATTTTGTTTGCATTCTTTTTGTTGTATTTCAAGTTCCACTGCTTTTTATCAACAAATCATTATGGATTTTGCTTTAAATTTTAAAATATGACTTGGGAAATTTGCAAGTAATTATGGTAAAAGCTGCGATAAAAGTTGTGCAATAATACAATATTTCGCCGCAAAATCATGAAAAGAAACGATGAGATGTGTTTAGTAGACTGCCAGTACACAAATCTGAGTTTGTTCAGTTTTGTGATTTTTTAAATCTGAAAACAGATGAGTGTATGGGGGGGGAAGAACACTGTTAAAGTATTAGAGAAGGATTTAAAAAAAAAGTGTTTTTAATTATTTTTAACATGTCATATAATACTCATTAAAAAATTAAAATTTGTATTTAAAATTTTAAAATAAATGTTGATATTTTCCAATTTATGATAAATGACAATAGTTTGGAATTTTTTTTTTTTTTTTTAAATAAGTCACAAAAGTTTCCAACTTGCACCAGATAAATCTTTTCATCTATATCTTCTCATGTTCTGACTTGTATAAATAATATTATACCTTCGATTAAAACAGTCCTGAATTTTCATACTGAAATTATTTTGGGATTAGAATTAGATACGAGAAGAGGCACTTTCTGATTATCTTCATTCCCGTAGAAACGTCATTAACTCATGGGCGGCTTTGGATAGCATTCATCGTTAGTTTACATTTTAGTGTAACCCTTGGATTTTCACAATGTTTGTTGCTTTATTTATCGCCAAATTTTTGTTTAATTTAATTTAACCTTAGTAGTTGAATGCTGTGGAAACACTAATATGATGTGATTGGTTACGTGATTGCATTGCATTGAAAATCTGGTTCTTGCAATGCTGAGCACAATAAGCACTGAGCAGGCCATGCAAAGGAGAGATCTAGAAATGACATAATCGAGAGAAATTTTTACGATTTTTAGAACAGAGAGGGAGAAGTAAAGACTTTACTATTAGTTTAAATTATAATTTTGATTCACATATTTTTTATCATACATATATATGGTACATACTTATTAATGCAACTGTTTTAGCGTAATCTGATGATTTTTTGCTGATGAAAAGGTAAAGCGATTTTTCAGATGCAAGTTTTTTTTTTTTTTTTTTTTTTAAAGATTCCCAAACTGTTGATACATAAGTCTACAAACATTATCAATGTATGTAGAGGAAACATACTTTAGCAATTTAAAATACAAATTTTAACTATTAAATAAGGATTATATGACACTTTAAAAAAATAAATTACTTACATTCTTCACCAAATCATTCTATAATTAATTGCACTATTCTTCTTCTCAAGTACACAGTGATCTGTTTTTGCTTAAAAAAATCAGAGAATTAAAGAGACTAAGCAATACAGGCTCTACCAAACACATCTTGATCCTTTTAGAGATTTTGTGCCAAAATTTTCTATCCGTGCAGAAATTTGACTGCACTTTTTCTTTGCTAGCAAATTCCACAGGAGCATATTTTAAATTTAAGTTTAAAGCAAAATTATCATGACTTGTTTATAAAAACCGTTGGAACTTGTAATGAACAAAAGTCATTCAAATTTGGAATTTGAAATTTGAAAATTCAAATTTGAAAGTTGGAACTTGGAATAGAACAAAGAATTCAAATAAGAGAACAAAAAGAATGCAAACGAAATGCAGCTATTGCTTGACTGAAGGATTGTTATCAGTATGGTTGCCTGAGGAATGATTAAGGGAATGGCTACCAGAGTTAGGCATGTTCTGAAAATTTAGTAATTTCTATTAAGGTGATTATTGCAGTAACACATAAGTGCCATATGTGTGTGTGTGTGTATGCATGCACACACTGCAAAAGGAAACAATAAAAAAAGCTTTGCTTGAATTACAAATCCAGAATATTTAACCATGTATGTGGCCTAGAATTTGGGCATGAGCAAATGGTATTTTCATGATCTTAATTCTAAAATGACCCTTCTACATTGTACGTTGATTAATTTTCTTTAAATATATTACTACCTTAATTGTCTGAACATATTTCAAGATGCATGTTTGTGTACTTAAAGATGTAATAACAAATATATTTTGAACATTTATGCATTGTTGTCATAAAAAAACTTCCCTAGTACATGAAACTCTAGCAACCTATCTGCTCAACCAGTGGAAAAGAAATTTCAGATATTGTTGTTTGAAGGTATGCGCTCGAGATTGTGATAATTTAAAAGCAACAGAGCTCACGTGGTTATGGTTATAGTGAAAACATTTCAAAATTTTTGAATGGCAACACCCACTTTTTTCCTACACAAATTGATTAGTCCATTGACAAGCCATTAATGGCCTTGTATGAAGAAAATTGTCCGCATAAAACATTTGCAAAGAAGAGCATTGTAAAGGACCAGTGATACACAGAGAAGAGCTGCATTGATACACTTTGCATAATTCGCAGGTATAGACAGTAGAAGCACCAGTCGCAGAACACCATATGCAAAGCATTGCTTTTGAAAAATCTTTAATAAGCAGTCTGAGAAGATTGTTTCTTCAGTCAGGTGTTCGAACATGCTGACAAGAGGACACTTACAGGGAAACAATGAGGTAAACTGATGTTTTATCTAAACATGGAAAATGCTGCCAAATCAGTGTGAGTTTGTCAATGAAATCATAAGCTGAGAGGAAGTCCATCTTCCATAAAAACTGTATGACTGGTTCAGTAAAAATGATTTAGTAAAAAATTTCAAGAAACTAGATGCACATATGATAGATCATCTGTGATTCATTTTGATTTGATGAAACATCAGAAAATTTCAGAATTCTCAACATTGCAGGACTTCCCATGTGTACCCATTGACCTATTTTAACTTAAAAAAACATCAAATAATTGCACAAATTAACTTGATGGAATGCACATTCCTGCACTGTCTACTATTAATCAAAATTTGATATTTCTGAAAAATGCAACATTTTCATTAACAGGCAAGCTCCATTGTGACATTATGATTCATCCATCACAAGAAAAAAAATCTCCACATACTAATTACAATACACAGAAGCCACAAACATGACTCTCGAATTTCAAAACCATGCACATTACTACCATTATCGAGACAGATGGCAGCATTATGCACTGGCATAATGCATATGGAACCATTAGTGGGCTGCCAGATAATGCCATTTTCATAAAATTCTGTGTTGCCAATTCTGGCAACATAGCGCTTTGCCCAATGATTCTTGTCAGAGTTGGTTGGATAACGCGATAGTATCGAAAAACATTTCTTTGGCCTAAGAGGGGCAGTTTCTTTTTACACGTGAGTAGTGAATGTATTAAAATATCTTTGTACATGTTCTTTGATTGTCAGTACCATTAATTTATCTAAATATTTATTCTTTCAGTTTGTTGAACTGGTTGCTGCTCTATTATCTATTTGCTGCATGCTTCTCTTGGGCTTTGCTGATGATGTCTTGGACTTGAAATGGCGTTACAAATTGCTACTTCCTACGATGGCTTCACTACCTTTACTTATGGTTTACTATGTCACTTACAATGGCACCACTGTAATAATACCAAAGCCATTCAGGGTATTTTTTGGTAACGATGTTTGGTTAGGTAAACAGAATTCTGCTATTTTTAAAAATAATATGCATGTTAATAATAATTATCTAACATTGTGTATATTTACAGAACTGAAAACCTTTCTAATTTTGCTGAAAGATTTCTAAATTTTCATTCTATTTTCTGATCTCTTAGTTAATCTCTAGATCTTCTAGTATTAAGTTTCTTTGAATTTAAGTTATCTGTTTCAAATGCATTTCTGTGATCAGTAAGTATCAAAGGAAAAGAAAGTATGAAATATTGAAAATATGAAAAAAAAAATGTTGTGGCAAATCCTTAAAGAAAGATAAAGGGTTTATCATCTCTTAGTAAAACTTAAGTTATAAATTTCATATTTTTCCAAGTGATTTTCAATAGAATAAGTTATAAATTTCATATTTTTCCAAATGATTTTCAATAGAATAAGTTATAAATTTCATATTTTTCCAAGTGATTTTCAATAGAATTTTTCTGTTTAAATTGTATTCAATCTAAACTTTTGTTATCCATTATGAAAGACTGTTGAACATTTTATGAAGATTTTACCAGTATTTAATGGGTAAAAATTCATTAAGTTTTCTTTACATCTGTAGATGATGCAGCACTAACTTTCTCTACATATGTAAATTTGATTTTTATTGTGTTTAAAAGCACTTTTATACATGAGAACTTTTTTTCCTTTTTTCATCAATATAAAAGTTGCAAAATAAAATGGGGAAAAAAGCTCAATTTAAAACAAAATTGAAATTTATAATAATGAATTTAATATTAAGTTAATATATTTTAAATCACAGTCATCTTACAACCGGTTTAATAATTCAAAGGATGCATTACAAAGTATCATTTAACTCATATTTATCATAGAAGCTTCATTGCTGTGTGTCTAAAATTCTCCCAGTTTCTCATATTTCAAGGTTGGCAGCTGTGTATTTCTGGTGTATAATTAATGACTGGTGTTTTCTTAGTATCAGATCATTAATAGTAGTATTTTTGGTACTTATGTATTATCCTGTCAGCTGTGAAACTGTCACTAAGCAGCGTGATTGAGCATCGGCTGTGAATGAGTATAATATCACAACACACTCGTAACATTTGCACTTTCATTTAGTGTAACCTTGATGGATTTTTGATAAGCCACCTTTTGCTTTTATGAATAAGGATATATGTTATTTGTTTGTTATACATTATACATGTATATTATATGTTCTTGCTGTATTTTTTCTTGCATTTAAAAAAAAAAAAGTGAGTTTGAGAACTGTAGAAGCACATTTGTAATTGCACTTACAACTCTCCATTTATAGCTAGTTGAGAGAATTAATGCCTGTTAAATGGGGTAAAAACAGCCAGCTGACAAAACAGTAATAGATTGGAGCAATTGCCTGTAGGAAGTTTGTACTCATAGCGTTCTAAACAAAGCTTCCAGTAAAATCGGAAGGCCTGGTAATAAAATAGAAATCTACGAAAGCCTTTTCGGGAAGTGCAAAAACAAAGAGGGTTGAATATTTCTACAGCAATGGTTGTTTGGAGAATTGTACAGAGAGACTAACGAATGTATTATTATATTACTTGTAAGAGTTGCAGTCAGAAGTGCAGCTCAGAGTTCTGCAGGAGTGATTGGTGCAACTTTGGCAGTTCTCCACTGACTTTCATGGTTTCATGTAACTAACTGTCATGCTTCATGGGATAATATGTAAGCACTGTATTTTTAATGGAATATTTAGTCAAAATTTAAGATTTATATGTATTTTTTATCAATCAGAAATCTAGTGTGAAAATTTTATTCATATTTCATTGTTGCTTGAGGAAATATTTTTACATTACTTATTTTGTGTTATACTATTTCCAACTCGCATTTAACGCTTAATTATCTTTTAAAGCACATTAATAATCCCTCAACATCTGAATCATCTTAACAATATGCCTAGCATTAAGTCTACACTTTGAAAGGTTATTTTACTTGTCTTTTTCTCTGATTTTTCTTTGATTGCAATAAAACATAAATAAAATTAATTGCAATCTTTTAATTTTCCAAGAAATGAAACTGTTTCAATTAAGGTAAAGATTACAGAGGGTGTTCACACATTTTTGTAATGATTTTGAAAAGATTTATGTATTAACAAACCTTAGAATTTTATTTTCCAATATTCTTCTAATAGCCCTTTTGTTGAACTATCGTATTACATCTTCATTTCCAAGATAAAAGTCCATTTCTTAAAACATCAAGGTTGTTTTTAATCCATTCCTCCTTCACAGTCTTCCAGAATTCATCCAATGTTTTGGGATGCTGCTTATAAAGAGCTTGTTTTAAAAGTCCAGATGCACAATAATCCACAGGAGACTAGGGTGGGATGTTTTTTAAAGGGAATAGCTTCAATTTCGATTTTGTTTCTCTTTTTTTTTTTTTTTTTCCCAAAAAATAGAGCAGTAGATTTAAAGGTATGGCTTGGAGCCTTATCCTGATGGAACTTAATGCAATGAAGATTGTTTGGGTAAAGAAATGGAGTTTCTTCTTTAAAAATAGGTGTTGAAACATATTTCTGATAGTAATCCGAATTAATTTTGACATTTTTTTCTACTTTCTTTATTTTAAGTTTTATGTTATATGAGAATCCAGTAATAGCCATAAAACCTTTAGAAAAACATTCCTTGTTTTCTCTGAAACAACATATTAAGTCTTTCTCTCCTCTTTTTCAGTAGTAAATCGATCTTTTTCTATTACAATCAGATAAGTATATTCAAGCCTCATAAATTTTCTTATTTCCATTTTTCACATGCCAAATAATTTTTATACAGCAATCTGCACAGTCTTGTGCTGAGAAACATGTTCCGATGTTAGGTGATCAACACCATGTTTTTGTGTTTTTATTAGCATGAGATCAGATTTCATAATTTTATTCACAGTTCCTACAGAGATATTTAAAAACTTTGCAGTAGCTCTTTGGGGGGCTGAATTTCCTTTTAAAACATGAGATGCGACTTTAGATTTAATAAGAGCTGTTAGTACCTTTGTTGGGTATGACGTTTTTGCCTTTTTCTCAGTCAGGCGTAAACTTTGACATTTCTTTCCTTTCATATTATGTCACTTATTTTATGTGTAGAAATATTAAAACCGTGCTTTTCAGATCTTTTTTAATAATTGAATAAGAGTATTTCTTTTCGAACGAGTGCAAAAATGTAGCCTTTGATCCATTTTTTTTTTTTCAGCAACATTTTTAAAAAAAGAATATTTTTAATGCTGCAGACGATAATTAAATCTTATTCGAATTAGAAGCCAATCACATTTGTATTTTGAAATTAATATTTAAGTTCATGGAGAAAATCAAAATCATTACAATTTATTGAATATAGCTTGGAAGGAGGAGGAGAAAATTGATTGAGAAAGCTAGAATTAGAGGTTGAGTGTAAGCAAAATACTGATTCTTCTGAAACTCTTACAAGTGAAATAATAAGAGGATGATTTGATTTGGTGATATCAGCATTTATTTAAAGCTACTTAAAAGCCAGATTAGAAGAATGGACTTACTGAAAAAAAAGATTTGGTCGTGTTTCTGTTATGGCTACTCCCACTAGATACTGTGAATTTGTTATTGCTGAAGCTTCCTATATTGCTGAGCTGTTAGTGCTGCATTCCTGATAATGTACAGGTCGGTGCAGCCATTAATAGAAATACCAGCTCAGACCATTACACTACCTCTGCCAAAACTGACACTTTCATACTGGAATATTCCATGTACCATCTTCTCTCCAAATGAGAATCCGCATATTATCAGGCTATACATTAAAGTGGGACTCGTCTGTGAAGAGCACGTTGCCCCCCTCATCTTGTCTCCACCTGAGATGCTCCTGTGCTTACCTTCTGCGGGCAGCATCGTGGTCTTATGAAAACAAAACACAAATCATAGGTCTGTGAGCATACAAGCCCACATGGTAGAGTTGGTTTTGAACAGTTTGAGTCAAAATCTTGGTACCAGTAGGTGCTGTTGCAGGAAAGTGCCATTCATAGTGTGGTTTCTTTTGGCAATAGTGTTTAATACCAATTTTCATTTTGTGCATTTTTCATTGTTGCAGACGTACGATCTTGTCTCGATCGTCAGCAAACATTTACAATTTCCAGAAACTAATTCCATAGTCTGGAAAGGATACTTTGAGAAACTCATAATGTTTCCACTATAATGGATTACATTTGACCATCTCTAAATGACCAGTGGCCGTCCAGGCTACCGATTCAGCTAAGTCATCTTGCTGAAACATTGTATTCACTGTTACAAAATATTCAGTGCATGTTTATTGTTTTTAATCTCCTACAGAAAGAATACTGTAGGTTGCTTTTCACTGCTTATCTAAAATGCATATTTTTCAGTGTCACAGGCAAAATTTGCATGTTCCCAAATTCGTAAATATTATAATTTTCCTTTTAACCTCTTTTATTTCATTTTGTTAAAAAAGTTGTTGATTATATGGTTAAGTCATATCGAATGCACAATACCCCCTAATTATTTTGAGCAATGTGTGTATGTGTATGTATATGTATATATATATGTACAAAAACATACAATATATACATTAACATGCCCATTTTATTACAGGTCCTTTGTATTATGTGTATATGGGCATGCTTGCTGTTTTTTGTACTAATGCCATCAATATATTTGCTGGTGTCAATGGACTCGAAGTGGGACAAGCTGTTGTAATTGGTTTTTCAATTATGATCTTCAACTTCATAGAGCTTTCTGGTATACCAATTCAAAATTTTTTTTAATTAATTTTAATTGTGCTTCATTTTATCATTTTAATAGCATTGATAATTTTTTATTTAGTTTTTAAAAATTGTATAAATATCCTGATTTTGATTTGTCATCTATTTTAGGAGACTGTTGGAAAGCTCATCTCTTTTCTTTATACTTTATGCTTCCATTTCTTTTCATAACATTAGCATTACTTTACTACAACTGGTGAGACATTTATCTTATTTATTACCTAAAATTAGAAATTTTTTATCTAGAAGCAACGCTGGCTTTCTGCCAACAGAAAACTGTTTTTGCCCTGCCTCTTTCATAAATTGGTTTTAAACAGTTTTAACCTGCATTGAATAGCAAAAACCTCAGAAAATAATAAAAGTATTTATAGTATTAATTAGTAATGCTTGCTTAATTTTAATATGTGAAAACAGTATGTATTTAATTAATACATGTTAATAGAAACAATTATTGTTTTAATAAGCACATTATTCTAATAATGGCAAAATTGTAAATATATTCAGTTTTTTATTTGTTTTTTAGATCAGTATATTTCTGAAAAATTATGTGTGTAACATTAATCTTTAACAATGAATAAAAGAATACAGTCCTCCCTTCTGAAAAAGAGCTAGAAAAAATAGTTTAAATTAGATAATAACTCAACATTATATGCTAGCTTATGTATTTCATTCAAAGTAATAAAAAACTAAATTATGAAGAGAAGAAAGCGTTCATACCCAAATCCATATTCTGTGCCTTATATCATAGTTTTTCTCTCAAAGTCAACTCCTTTTCCCAACACAGTTTTCTGCAATGAAAGCTCATAAAATGTTTTAGCTTCTATATAGTGATCTTATATTAAGATTATGCATATGAAGATTAATAACTTTCAGTTATTTGATAATGAATGATATTGCCCACTAGTACTGATCAATGAATATTTTCCAGATTGTCATTAATTCAGAACAAATTAAAATTTCTTCGAGTTTTGAAACAGCAGCAAAATTGGTCTTTTCTTGTAAATTATTCCATGGAAAAGGTCAGGCAAAACTTGAGTATGAATCTTCTGCTATATGAACTTTGAATAAATATTTTCAGTGTTATAGGTAAACTTGTTTAGTTTTAAAATAAATTTCTCTCTACTATTTACTATTCTGCAAGAGAGTTTAGTCATTTATGAGTTTTTGCCAATTATGGCATTTTTATTGCAGATTTAATTCCTCCATACCAATTTTAAAGTTTTAAGATGTATTTCTTAGAATCAGAAAATATTACATAGTTATAAAGAACTTGCTATATTCTCTTGCTAATTTTTGAAGTTTTATTCTGTTTTAGTAAATTGTCATATGTAGCGTACAGTCTGAAAACACAATGACCTGCACAGTCACAGTGTAATTATTTTTGAAGTCATAGAAATTTAGCTAGAATTTTGAGAAATGTTGTTACTCTAGCTCTCACTATTTCCTATTGTATAAAAATTATTTTAAACCATACTTACCTTACACAAATCCAAATCAGAATGGCTATAATTTTTTTAAAAGCAACTTTAATATAAATTATCACTGCTTGCTAGTATAGCAACAACACAAGGAAATCGCTTGTTCTGTGCTGAAATTATAGCTAAAATCATCAGTTAAAGCACTGGTCTCAAACTCAAATTGCATACTGGTCGAATGTTTTATCCGAAAGCAGCGAACTGGCAAGAGCACTTCTTTTAACAAAATTTACAGTTTTTTTAACAAAACAAAAAAATAAATTTTAAATTTCACTTCCCAAATATTTATCAAAACATACATAAATAATAATAATAACAAAGAAAAAATTCAAATTTATATTTTGTATTTGAAATCTAAAGGTTGGTTCTTCCATGAAATATATTTTGGTTATACTTTTTAATTCAAACATTTTATAGCTAAATATTAAATTTTAGACTGGTACTTATTTCAGGTAATTTCAGTATGTTAAATTAACTCTATATAACTTTATTTTAATCTAAACCAGAAATTTTAAAATACTGAAGGGCCACCAGCTATCAGCTGACAAACTAAATTTACTCATAATATCAATGTGGGATATTCTCCCATCTTACCCTAATCGTGATGTGTTGTACACTGTGCAAAAAAAGGGGGGGACAGTTTTATATCTCCCGCTCTACTGGGCCAATTGATGAAATTCAAATTGCCTTTTTCATGTCTCGAAAGCATGACTTACGATATGTATTACATATATATATATATATAGTCATTTTAACATAGGTATTTTGACACAAAATCAGACTTTTCCTGAAATGACTTGCCAGTTTTTCTTTCCATATGTAGATTCAATGACTCAAGTTATGCCTAAATATTAAATTTTGTAAAATTTGGTTCAAAATTTATGGAGAAATTCAAAAATTTATTTTGGTGTAGTTTTTTCTCTTTTCGCCAAGAATAATTTACTTTGCAAACTTCTTAATTTATGGCAAACAATTTTCCTTTTCTTTTTTTCATTGTAAATAAGCAGAAAAAAGTCATCCTTCATATTTTCGAATAATTTTAATAAAGTGCATTATTATCGCTAAAAAAAAAAGATGCCAAATTTCAAAATGCTCCAATATGTAAATTCATGTATATCTTAGAAAATTTTGAATAAATGTGAATAATGTTTTTTAAAAAAATTGTAAAACATATTTAAAAATACAAATTTTAATAGTAAATAATAATAAATGTGCAAATTACTATGTTTGGATTAAGCCAAAATTTCGGATCCTGGAAGAATGAATCAAGTAAGTTTTATATAAAAAAAAGAGATATTAATAAATATATATCAGATTCAATTAACATTGAGGAGCTAAAACTGTTTTTTAAAAACTACTCGTGCAATTTTAACAAAACTTCATAGTTTGGCATAATTTGAGTCATAGAATCGAAATATGGAAAAAAATTGGCATCTCATTTCAGAAAAAATCTGATTTTGTGTCAAAATACCTATATTAGAACAAAGCTATATGTAAGTCTAATACAAATCCTAAGTTGCACTTTCAAGACATGTAAAATGCAATTTGAATTTCGTCAATTGGAGTAGTAGAATGGGAGATATAGAACTGTCTCCCCCCCCTTTTTTTTTGCGAAGAGTACAAGCATACAATGGCAAAGAGGTAGCTCCACCTCTCTTTTTCTTTCAGCAGTAGCACACATAAGCTTTATATCTCTTAACACATGAACCATGCCATGAACACATTCAATGTGTTCATGGGCTGCATAAAATCGCTTCAGTTGCCACAAGTTTGAGATGACTGAGTTAAAGTACATCTACATGTTTAATTTCTCCTTCATTTATGTATGAAGATATACAAGGTGCACCCATAAAATAACTGGACAAATTAAAAGACCAAACGATGAAATATAAATGTGAAAGAATAAATGTGTGTTTATGCATAGTGTCATCTCAACTCTTGTCAAAGCCAGTTTAAGCTGGTTATTTTGTCATTTGCATGCTAAAATGTCAGAGTCATTTTCATATACTGAAAAGGCATTGTACAAAAAAAATTTGCTTTGATGGAATAATGTTCTACCATTAAATTTTATTATAAATTAGGTAAATCTGTTACCGAAACAATTAGAGATGATTTGAACAATACAGTCAAAAGTTGTTAATTCGGACACCCATAATCCGGACCTCAAAGCTACAAACTTTCTGCGCATGCGTCGTGTTAATGCATGCGCGTAAGACCTTTACGGCTGCGAATATGCGTGTGCAAAATACGTTTACGAATGCGCGTTTAATGTATAACGGACAGTATAAACTAAGCTAAAATTATCTAATTCAGTTAATGTTGCAGATTGCATTGTTCCTTAATCTTCAGATTGGATTCGGCTTATTATTTTTTGCAGACTGTTAGAGCAATTTTATAAAAGTAAGCTTGAACTTTCGATTATGTCAAAGTGAATATCTGATATCTATTTACTAACATGTAAAGGATCTATAAAGTGAAAGTATGTTTCGAAGTCCATTAAACAAAAAGTGGAATTGCTGCAAAAAATGGATAAAGGCATATCCTTTGTTTATCTAAACTTTGTTTATCTTTAACGCCGCGGCACGTAATGAATTGGAAGTTGATCTGTCAGCACTATCCTTATCTTCAGGGCAGATGTTTTTATTTTATTTGGCTTATAATTCCTTACTAAATGTAGTATTTCATCTCGATGTACTCCGTCTTTGATATGATTTAAATCAAATTCCTTGTCATTATAATTCGCTTCCGATAGCGAAAAAAGTGACAGTTATTGAAAACGAAAAAATTTCGATTGACAAATTAGTCGGTATTCTCGACACAGCAATTATAGGACTTGAACAGCGGAACTTTGTAACTGAACAAGAAATTATGTCTGTTTATAGAATTAAAGAGAATGTATTATCACATAAAAAACAAAGCAACTTAAACAACTTACATTGAAAGAAATGTTTAATAAAGTAAACAAATAAATATTAAGCTTTTTTTTTTTTGTAAATTTTGATACCCTTTAGATCATAATTGTTCTTTATTTCATAAATTACGGCTTCATATTTTTAATTTTATAATTTCTGCATGTCATCTTACCAGATTTAAACTGATGATCTATAATCCGGAAAAATCAATAATCCGGAATCGCCGAAGTCCCGGCGAGTCCGGATTAACGACTTTTGACTGTATATGGTGATGCATCATTATCAAGGGCACAAGTATGTGAGTAGTATAACTGTATGGAATATGAGACAGAAAGAATTGAAGGTGAACTAAAGATAGAGCACCCTTCAGTTACAAATGTTACGCTTATTTTGCAAACAGTTTTCAACATCTATGAACAGTATTTCAATGACTTGAAAAAATGTTGAAAAAATTTTATAAACTCCTCTGGCAGTTATTTTGAAGGAGATAAATTTATTTTGAGGTTAGTAATCTTTTTCGTATTCATATTTATTTATTTATCAGTTCTTTGTGATTTATTTATCAGTTATTAATCAGTTATTTGTGGTTACTTTATGAGCTCACCTTGTATTATATAAAGTGTGAGCAGATAATAAATCAAATTAAGATGATATATAAGTTAACAAAATAAAAACTTAATATGAGTACATGCTATACATTCCTAATATTCAGATTTAAAAAATTTGCATGATGCATCTCCAAAGCAGATTTTTCTTATATTTAAATATGACTCCTTTTATGATTTTTCGAATTTCCGATTATCATTTCC